CTTCATTAAAGCAGTTCATGTGACATTCTGCATTCTTTTTCCTTTTTTCTTCTTTTTTTTTTGTAGGTTTTTCTTCCTTTTTTCCCCTGTTCTATTAGAGATAGGTTTTTGGGTTAACTTCAAACTGTTGTCTAAATTCTTGACTGAATAAAATCTGCTTTTTTTTCCCCTCCACCTACAGACAGGGCAAGGCTGATGCAGTAGGAACTCCAGCTCAATTTATCTGTCTAGAAAGATTCTAACTTAAAAATTAATTTTTAAGGGTATTTTTTGGTTTAGTTAGTTACTGGGTTCAGAATTCCTTATTATTGATGCTAATTCCTGGAAACTTCTGGGAAATAAATAAAATGCCAAGAAACAAATAATCACCAAAAGCTGTGCAGCATCACAATAGGCACTCTGTTCCGGAAAGAAGGTTGTATTTTCTTTGGGAAGGGACAGAAGAAGGGACAGAGGAAGGGAAGAAAAAAATGTGGGCAAGCCCTTGTGTAAAATTACTGAATCAAATCCCTTGCTTGAGTTCACACTAAAGCTGCCTCTTTCTGCAGCTTCTATCCAAGGAATTCTTTTAGATGCTATCCTTCTCATTGTCTGACACCAGACACATGAGAGAAAACCTGAGGAGTCCCTGCCAGCTATTTCATACAGTTCTTTCACCATGCACCCTTCTACAAGTCACATAAGAGGAACTCAGGCGTTTCTCTCATGCTGATCCTCAAACCTCCATTGACTACCTTGCAGCTTTTCCCTCTCTTCTGGCTGCCCACACCTCACAGTCTATGTTAAACAAAGAACAGAGCCTCTTGTGCCAGCTCTTGCTCAGCATCCCTTCACTCCATAAGGGAGTCCCCAAGACCAACGGTGAGCAGTGCAGGAGCAGTAGTCTGTGACCTTGAAGACCCGTCATAAAAATCTTCAGCAACTTCACCCTGTGCCCATTTTAGCCTTTTTTTTCAAGCATAAGCACTGAAGATCACAGACTATCCTTAACATTTATAATGGGTACCATATTGAGCACAATAGTAAGCTATCCCTGCTGCATAGATGGAAATCTCTCTCCCCTCACATGTACCATATTTGAAAATATAACCAGTGTTAGCAAAAGTAAAGCATTCCACATTTAGCATCACCACAATTCACATTGTCTGGACCATCCTAATTCAATTTCTTTTTACAGCTGTATAGTATTATGAATTTTGATCAGAACAGAGTGAAACCTTTAGCCTAAACATTAATTGATTAAAAATACATATTCAGCAACAGCAAATCATTTCATTACTTCCTCTGTTCTACTCAATTGCTTGTGTGAAGGAAAAGCAGCAAATGATGAAAAAAAAAATTGTTCTGAACATTTTAAAAGAAGCCTCTCAGTTTTTTTTATCTGATATAATTCTTCATGGAGAATTTCTCTTTAACTGATCTATAGAAAAGTCCAACTATAGTAAGTACTTTATTCAGTCTAAAATGGAACTTACCTTCCATTTCTCAAAACTGTGGGTGAGCCAAAAGACCAGTTAAAGGCAGAGGTCCTGCTGTATTTGATACCTTCAGCCCCACCTCTAGTAATGCTTGAAGTACCACATGTAAAATCTCTGTTACAAATTGCATGTGTTTCAATGGTTGTAGACTGAGGTTCTGGGGATGAAAACTCAACCTGGAGCACTCCCCCTCTGATGGGCAACTGCAACTACTGCAGAGCTAGGAAAAGTGACATTTCAAATGTCTTGGTGCTCCTGATCCACCTTTCTCTTCAGGGACTCCCTTATTAAATCAGATCAGTGTACAAGTCAAAATAGATTGCTTCTGACTGTCACCACTGACTACTGCTGTCTGAAAATCAAGCTATTTTCTCTCTACTTTATACATCACCCCCAGATACGAAGAGTCCAAATTCTGAGCGTAATAGGGAATTCTCTTGACAATGTACAAGGTAAAATAGAAGCAGCATGTTGCTCAGCTGCTCAATTGGATCTGGAACAAAGCACTTATAATTGTGATCTACCACTTAAATAACTAGATACTGTATAAGTCAGACAATGGAGGCTAAGAGATTATTAGGACCAAGATGCCAGTCACAGGTGTATTTCCAGACAAAGTTTTTAAATGTCAGAGGGAGCTAATGGTGGAGACTGAGAAAAATATAGACATAGGTCAAATTGGCCATGCTCTGTCAGCAGGATACAACTACACTCAGTCTCTGGGAGATGTATTCAAGTAGGAAACACTCTCTTGGGGAAATTATAGATATCTCTTTGCTAGTAGTTTAGGTAGCTTAAACATTTGGGATCATGTATCCTTACAGTTAGCATTGCAGTGACCTAAGGACAAAGAGTGTACAAACATTTCTGCATGGGTGAAAGGTATCCAATTGAAAAACTTCATGTTTGAGTCAGCACTAGTCCTGACACTGCAGTCTTCCCTCTTCCTCCTGAGGGACCAGCTCCCAGAGGCAACTGGATGCAGCACTGGCCTTTCAGAACTTATGAAATGTAAACACAGTTTTATTCACTTCTTGACCCTTGACTCAAAACATTTGCAGCTCTATAAATGAAAAGCAACCACTGCTGCTTAGCAACTGCTTCTGACCCTTCTTGATACTGTCAAAAAACTGAGGCCATGCTTTTTGTCACCATACACAGGATGGGTGCTGTGGTGATGTTTGAGAACTCCTGGTTGGTCTCCCCAGGTACTTGATATCATTGCCCTTTTTCTTGCAACTAGTCTGACAGGTTGGGAAACGGCTACATGTGAAATTTTTGGTCAAACTAAGAAAAAATTAGTGAAATGGAGCCTTCTTCAGCTCTGACATCCTGAGTTTACGTTCCAGACAAGACAGTTGAGTTGCCAGTCCCAACTTTTGTTCTTTGAATATGTCATAGAAGGGCAGCTGATGATGCTGCCTTAGACTCTATGAAAGAACAAAGGGTTTTTCAATCACGAACACTGAGCTATCAGCATACAGTTTAATTTTTCGGAGGAGAGCTCTGGCAAAGCCAATGACTCTTGATCCTGCTCCTCCCTGAAAAGGAAACCTCTGGAAATTTGTTGGAAGCAATTGGCCTTGGACAGTTTGGTGTGGTGATGCTGGAAATGGCATAGTGATTGTGGAAAAAAAATCTTCAAAAGGGAAGTGCTGGGATGGAGAGGACACATGCAAATTTTTGAAACCAATTCATGGATTCAGCAAAATGCAAAGGATTTCTCCAACGCTGCCTCACCTGCCACACTTCAAGCACTAACATCAGATTCTGCTTTTGGCAAGGTACATTAGTCCCTCTGTACATGGAATAACTCTCAGGATATTAGAGTAGGATATGTTCATCCCACAGTGCAATGCTGCAAAATCAGTGGTATCTGGGTTTCTAAGCCAGTTTGTATGCTTTTGAAATCCTACACTTCTCTGCCACTCCCAAATGGCAAGAACATCGTAACATTTTACTCCCATTTATTCATCTTTAAAATGCCCCTGAGAGATTTTTCTAATATCCGTGGTTGTCTTTTTGTGAGCCTAATGCTTAGCTATCATATATTTTTCTTACTCAGACAGGAAATCATGGCAACTAACTCTCTCCTTTGCATTTTTTAGCTACTTTCCTACTACAACCACTGATTCAACAGATATTAACCCCACCTGATGTGAGTATGTAAGCAGAGTGCTGGTGCGAAAAACACAGCACCAGCTGCACTTTCACCAAACCCAGATTTGAAGGAAGGTTGTCTGAGAAGCCCAGATATTCAGCCTGTGGTAGGAGCTGCTTCTGCAGAAGAGAAAGATCCCTTCCTAGCAAGTCCACAGAGGACACTCAGGCATCTACACCCCACACCTCCACACCTACTGCACTGTGTGAAAAAGCATCAACCCAGGTTGGAAGTACCTGTACCTCTGCACACACAACTTCTCTGACACTTCAGGCCCTGCTGCAGCAGCAGGTACTGAGAACTTCAAGCCTCAGGCCCCATCCCTATCACCACAACACTGCATCCACAGCCCTGCTGGTGTCCAGGCTGCAGCTGCTGTTCCATCTGATACTTCCAGGGCTGAGGCTTCCTGCCTTTCCATTCAGGCATCCTCATCTAGCAGCTATGCAGGCTGTCTTGGCTAGCCTACTTCCTTTCTGGGACCCACAGCTTTAAATGCCTGAGATGACAGCAGCCTTTGCTGCTGCTATGCCAAGGTTGCCACACTGCCAAGTTTTAGCAAACCTTCACTGCCCTAATGGATGTGCCATCCAAATAAATCTTTTCCAGTTGTCTTGTCCTGTCTTTACAGTCTCACAGCTACTTTCTGTACACCCTGAGGCATTGCCTTCAGGGAGATGAAGTGGTTTGTCCCAGCTCAGGGAAGCCAAAGGCTCCAGACATTAGCAGCATGCTCTGCGAAACCCAGAAAAAGGGCAGCACATAGCTAATGCAGTAGCTGCACCAGCAGCAAATGGTACACAACAGTGCTATATAGAGCAGTCTGACCATGGAAAGATACCCTAAATTAGGTCCTAGGATAAAAGAGCTGAGCGTGTGATTCCACCTCCCATTTTAAACATCCATACGCCAGATGAGAACTGCTGATTAAATTGCAACTGGGAACCAACACACAAATGTATTTCTCATGCCTTGTCCCAATTACTTTAAAATAGGTATTGCTGAGCCAGTTGCTTGGATTACAGAAATCAGAGTTCTTTAATAGAATTTGACAGTTTTTTAAGTTTGCACAAACTCCTCTAGAAGCAGATCAAAGTGGGAACACTAGTTCTAGTCAGGCTCACAGGTAGAAACAAACTTCCTACAGAAGTGTATCTAGTGAAATCATTAGCATTACTCCTCTCCATGCACCCCACAGCAAGGATCCCTCCTTGCAGTGTTGTGCTTCCCCTGTTCTCCTGGAGGTCTACTTTTGTGCTTAACACAGATCTCCTTCCCCAAGGTGAAGGTCTTTAGTCACTGGCCATCAGTGCTCCCATTTAGCAGCAGGGCTATGAAATACCCCAGCTGGTGGAACTCACAGTTGGCCTCTTCCATTGTATTCTCCACAGCTTATCCTCTGAGAGCAGGTTGGGACCAATGGAGCTGACATGAGCAGGGAAAGTGGCATCCTCAAAGAGCAGCCCTTTGCTCAGACACAAGGCTCGCAGGTCATTGAAGTCCTGGTTATTAAATTTCTTCAGGTTCTGGAGGTTTCTCTTTGCTTCTGTTTGCCAGTCCTGCTCTGGCATCACAGCAGAACTGGGAGCGAGCATTTTGCCCCTTTCCTGTGAAGAAGAGACATGGACTGCCATTAGGTTCCTGATCCAAAGTGGTGTCTTAGGAGTGTGTGGGAAAGCAAACACCTCCCCCTCCCACCAAGAGGATTGTGGAACAGCAGTGTGCAAATCTGAGGGCAGGCACAGTGACAAAATCCTTATTAGCTGGAAATGCATGGGGAAAGA